CGCTTCTTTTCGTCTTCTTACTGGCTGAGCTGATTCTTCTTTCAACTGTGAGACAATCGCTGATTGACTGTGGTAGTCGACTACCACATTAAATCAACCCTTCTTCCACTGTCCATTTCAAAGCCTTGATGTTCAATGGAGGTCCTTCGGCCAGCTTTGCCAAGTAGATTGTCTTCAAGGCGCGGCGAGCTCGCCACCAACCACGGCGATGGAACCTCACAATGGCAGGCTTGCCCTGCCAACATGTGCGACGTTTGCACTTTGTCTTCACCTTGGAGAAAGGCTCCATCTCGCGCCAAAGCATGTATGCACGATGTAGACGCCAACGCTGGCCGGGAGGGCTCGCAGCAGCTGGTAAGTATTCACGGCTGCTCGCGCTCAGGCTCGGGCTGGCGGCCGGGATTGGCCGGCCAAACAAGAAATGCCTCAGACGCTTTCGCTTCTTGTGTAGCCAGCTCGCTGACGTCAGAAATTTTGCAGCTTCCCCAACCTTCGCACGCAAGCTATATTGCTGGCTAGTGGGAAGTGCGCATAACAACCCAAGTGTGAAGGCCGCCTCGTAGGTTGGCGACCCAATTTGGCGCCAATGCTTGAGCTGCCTGACCAAGTTGCCTTTGCCCACGCGAGAAGCGAGCGCGCCGCCCAAGCTCTCCAAACTGCAGAGAGAGCAACGCTTCTTGCCAGGTTGCGCAGGCCCACCCATGCCATCCTGGGCGAAGATGCATGGTCTGGCTGCTCCTCCATTCGGATCCTCAAGTCCGGCGCAATAGACTGGCATGGCGACGAAACCTAGGACGGTCTACCTTTCTCCTGAAAACGGCAGTCATTCACACATGATGCTGTCACTGCTGTCCATGCATGCAAACCTTTGGGGTCATTTGGGGTCTTGTTGGGGGGCCTTCTGTTTCGGGGCGCCTTCTTGGTTTCTGGGTGAGCAAAGGTTCTGGGGCTTAATTGGGTTTCTCCCATGGCCTTATTTTGGGGTCTCCAACCGGCGCGGGGGAGGGGGGGGGGGGGCGGGCGGGTGAAGGAGGGGGGGGGCTCATTCTGGTTGAGGATAAGGAATTTGAGTTTGGGTGCCTAAGGGCCCTTGGATGCCCCTCTGGCAGCCTTCTCGAAGTGGGTGGGGCGTGTGGGGGGGTGGGGGGGGGGGGGCTTGTGGGTGGGGGGGTTGACTGGGCGCCTCATTCTGGTTGAGGATAAGGACCTGGCCCCCATTCAGGTTGAGGATAAGCAAACGTGGCGGCTGCGCCTCATTCTGGTTGAGGATAAGGACCTGGCCCCCGTTCACAGGTTGGGGATAAGCAAACGTGGCGGCTGCGCCTCATTCTGGTTGAGGATAAGGACCTGGCCCCATTCACAGGTTGAGGATAAGCAAACGTGGCCTGCGCCGGACCTGGCCCGCGGTGCAAACGTGGCGGCTGCGCCTCATTCTGGTTGAGGATAAGGACCTGGCCCCCTTTTCGGTTGGGAATAAGCAAACGTGGCGGCTGCGCCTCATTCTGGTTGAGGATAAGGACCTGGCCCCTATTCAGGTTGAGGATAAGCAAACGTGGCGGCTGCGCCTCATTCTGGTTGAGGATAAGGACCTGGCCCCCATTCAGGTTGGGGATAAGCAAACGTGGCGGCTGCGCCTCATTCTGGTTGAGGATAAGGACCTGGCCCCCATTCAGGTTGAGGATAAGCAAATGTGGCGGCTGCGCCTCATTTTGGTTGAGGATAAGGACCTGGTCCCTATTCAGGTTGAGGATAAGAAAACGTGGCGGCTGCGCCTCATTCTGGTTGAGGATAAGGACCTGGCCCCCATTCAGGCTGGAGATAAGCAAGAGGATAAGCAAACGTGGCGGCTGCACCCCATTCAGGTTGAGGATAAGCACCTGGCCCCCATTCAGGTTGAGGATAAGCAAACGTGGTGGCTGCACCTCATTCTGGTTGAGGATAAGCGCCTGGCCCCCATTCAGGCTGAGGCTAAGCAAACGTGGCGGCTGCGCATTCTGGTTGGGTTGAGGATAACAAACGTGGCGGCTGCGCCCCTTTCTGGTGAAGCACCTCGCCCGTGTGGGGGGGGGGGGGGGGGGGGGGGGGGGGGGGGGGGGGGGGGGGGGGGGGGGGGGTCAGATGAGGGGCCTCATTCAGGTTGAGGAGAAGGATTTTGGGCTTGGACACCTAAGCGCCCTTGGATTCCCCTCTGGGGGCCTTCCCGAAGTGCCCGGGGCAGGGGGTGGGGTGTGAGGGCTTGGGTAATAAGGATTTTGGGCTTGGACACCTAAGCGCCCTTGGATTCCCCTTGGGGGCCTTCCCGAAGTGCCCGGCCGAGGGGGTGGGGGGGGGGGGGGGGGGGGGGGGGTGAGGGCTTGGGGTTTCCAGGCCCTCATTCAGGTTGAGGATAAACCTGGCCCCCATTCAGGTTGAGGATGATAACTGGCCCCCATTCAGGTTGAGGATAAGCAAACGTGGCGGCTGCACCCCATTCAGGTTGAGGATAAAGACCTGGCCCCCATTCAGGTTGAGGATAAGCAAACGTGGCGGCTGCGCCCCATTCAGGTTGAGGATAAGGACCTGGCCGTCATTCAGGTTGAGGATAAGCAAACGTGGCGGCTGCACCCCATTCAGGTTGAGGATAAGCACCTGGCCGCCATTCAGGTTGAGGATAAGCAAACGTGGCGGCTGCACCCCATTCAGGTTGAGGATAAGCACCTGGCCGCCATTCAACGTGGCGGCTGCACCCCATTCAGGTTGAGGATAAGCACCTGGCCCCCATTCAGGTTGAGGATAAGCAAACGTGGCGGCTGCACCCCATTCAGGTTGAGGATAAGGACCTGGCCCCCCTTCAGGTTGAGGATAAAGACCTGGCCCCCATTCAGGTTGAGGATAAGACAACGTGGCGGCTGCACCCCATTCAGGTTGAGAATAAAGACCTGGCCCCCATTCAGGTTGAGGATAAGCAAACGTGGCGGCTGCACCCCATTCAGGTTGAGGATAAGGACCTGGCCCCCATTCAGGTTGAGGATAAGCAATCGTGGCGGCCGCACCCCATTCGGGTTGAGGATAAGCACCCGGCCCCCGTTCAGGTTGAGGATAAACAAACGTGGCGGCTGCACCCCATTCGGGTTGAGGATAAGGACCTGGCCCCCATTCAGGTTGAGGATAGCAAAACGTGGCGGCTGCACCCCATTCAGGTTGAGGATAAGCACCTGGCCCCCATTCAGGTTGAGGATAAGCAAACGTGGCGGCTGCACCCCATTCAGGTTGAGGACAAGCACCTGGCCGCCATTCAGGTTGAGGATAAGCAAACGTGGCGGCTGCACCCCATTCAGGTTGAGGATAAGCACTTGGCCCCCATTCAGGTTGAGGATAAGCAAACGTGGGTGTGGGGTGGGGTGGGGGGGGGGGGGGGGGGGGGGGGGGGGGGGGTGGGGGGGGGTGGGGGGTGGGGGGTGGGGGGGGGGTGGGGGGGGGGGGGGGGGGTGGGGACCTAAGCGCCCTTGGATTCCCCTCTAAAGGCCTTCCCGAAGTGCCCGCGAGGGGAGGATTTTGGCTTGGAGCCCTTGAATTCCCCTTTAGTGCCCGGCAGAGGGGGGGGGGGTCTGTGGGGGGGGGTGAGGGCTTGGGGTTTCCAGGCCCTCATTCAGGTTGAGGATAAACCTGGCCCCCATTCAGGTTGAGGATAAAGACCTGGCCCCCATTCAGGTTGAGGATAAGCAAACGTGGCGGCTGCGCCCCATTCAGGTTGAGGATAAGGACCTGGCCCCCATTCAGGTTGAGGATAAGCAAACGTGGCGGCTGCACCCCATTCAGGTTGAGGATAAGCACCTGGCCACCATTCAGGTTGAGGATAAGCAAACGTGGCGGCTGCACCCCATTCAGGTTGAGGACAAGCACCTGGCCGCCATTCAGGTTGAGGATAAGCAAACGTGGCGGCTGCACCCCATTCAGGTTGAGGATAAGCACCTGGCCCCCATTCAGGTTGAGGATAAGCAAACGTGGCGGCTGCACCCCATTCAAGTTGAGGATAAGGACCTGGCCCGCATTCAGGTTGAGGATAAAGACCTGGCCCCCAGGATAAGCAAACGTGACGGCTGCACCCCATTCAGGTTGAGGATAAGGACCTGGCCCCCATTCAGGTTGAGGATAAGCAAACGTGGCGGCTACGCCCCATTCAGGTTGAGGATAAGGACCTGGGCCCCATTCAGGTTGAGGATAAGCAATCGTGGCGGATGCACCCCATTCAGGTTGAGGATAAGCACCTGGCCCCCATTCAGGTTGAGGATAAGCAAACGTGACGGCTGCGCCCCATTCAGGTTGAGGATAAGCACCTGGCCCCCATTCAGGTTGAGGATAAGCAAACGTGGCGGCTGCGCCCCATTCAGGTTGAGGATAAGGACCTGGCCCCCATTCAGGTTGAGGATAAGCAAACGTGGCGGCTGCACCCCATTCAGGTTGAGGATAAGCACCTGGCCCCCATTCAGGTTGAGGATAAGCAAACGTGGCGGCTGCACCCCATTCAGGTTGAGGACAAGCACCTGGCCGCCATTCAGGTTGAGGATAAGCAAACGTGGCGGCTGCACCCCATTCAGGTTGAGGATACGCACCTGGCCCCCATTCAGGTTGAGTATAAGCAAACGTGGGTGTGGGGTGGGGTGGGGGGGGTGGGTTGGGTGGGGGTGGGGTGGGGGGGTGGGGTTGGGGGGGGGGGGGGTGGGTGTGGGGGGGGGGTGGGGGGGGGGGGGGGGGTGGGGGGGGTGGGGGGGGGGGGTGGGGGGGGGGGGTGGGGGGAGGTTGAGGGCTGGGGTTTCCAGCCCATTTAGGTTGAGGATAAGGATTTTGGGCTTGGACGCCTAAGCGCCCTTGGATTCCCCTCTAAAGGCCTTCCCGAAGACCCGCGAGGAAGGGAGGGGGGGTGGGGGGCGGGGGAAGTGCCTGGGAGGGGGGGGGGGGGCTGTGGGGGGGGTGAGGGCTTCCAGGCCCTCATTTAGGTTGAAGATAAACCTGGCCCCCATTCAGGTTGAGGATAAAGACCTGACCCCCAGGATAAGCAAACGTGACGGCTGCACCCCATTCAGGTTGAGGATAAGGACCTGGCCCCCATTCAGGTTGAGGATAAGCAAACGTGGCGGCTACGCCCCATTCAGGTTGAGGATAAGGACCTGGGCCCCATTCAGGTTGAGGATAAGCAATCGTGGCGGATGCACCCCATTCAGGTTGAGGATAAGCACCTGGCCCCCATTCAGGTTGAGGATAAGCAAACGTGACGGCTGCGCCCCATTCAGGTTTGGAGCCAATCTGGACTTGTGGTGGCCAATTTTTGGTTCAGGAAGCCAATTTTGGGCTTGCAGAGCAAATTTAGTGTTTTGGGGCCAATTTCGAGCTTTGGCCAAATTTTGGGCTTTGGGACCAGTTTTGTGCTTTGGAGCCCAAAAGTGGGGCTCCAAAAGCCCAAAAGTGGCCCCTTTGGGCTTGGCCAATTTTGCAGCCAATTTTGGGTTCTGGGAGCCAATTCGGGGCTCCGGAAGCCAATTTTGGGCTTGGAGAGCAAAATTTGGGCTTTGGGAAGGCAATTTTTTGGAAGCCAATTTTGGCTTTGGCAGCCAATTTCGGGCCAGTTTTGGGCTTTGGATCCAATTTGGGCTTTGGCAAGGCATTTTTGGGCTTTGAGAGCCAATGGGCTTTGGAAGCCAATTCTGGGCTTTGGTAGCAAATTTTGGATTGGGAGCCAGTTTTGGGCTTTGGGAGCCAATTTTGGGCTTTGGAAGCCAATTTGGGCTTTGGGAAGGCAATTTTTGGGCTTTGGGAATCAATTGGGCTTTGGAAGCCAAATTTGGGCTTTGGCAGCAAATTTTAGGCTTTGGGAGCTAATTGGGGCTCTGGGAGCCAGTTTTCGGCTTTGGGAGCCAATTTTTGTCTTTGTGAAGCCAATTTTCGGCTTTGGGAAGCCATTGGAAGCCAATTTGGAGTTTTGAAAGCCAATTTTGTGCTTTGGGAGTCAATTTTGGGAGGCGATTTGAGCTTTGCTTTGCCGGAACCCGGGAAGACCCCAGAGGTTTAAGTAAATTGAACATTTGGCCTCCCGCTTTGGATTAATTTACTTAAACTCGGTTTGTCAGCTGTTTAGACAGACAAATATATTGGAAAATTCAGAATGATACCACATACAATTTCTATTTATTTTGTCTTGAGGGTTTAGGGTTTAGGGTTTATAGAAATTGTATAGGGTTTGTGTCCGGAGTTTTGGGGGGTTTTGTCGGGTTTTGGGGGGTTTTGTCGGGTTTTGGGGGGTTTTGGGGGGTTTTGCCGGGTTTTGTTTTTTGCCTTTCAATGTTTTACATTTTTGTTGGTTGGGCTTGGGGGGGCTGGGGGGGATGGGGGGCTGGGGTGGGGGGGCTTGCGCCAGAATTCAAATTTTGAAGGTCTGTATCGGCCCAAAACCTCAAGAATTAAAATTTTGAAAGCCTGGGAATCTTTGGATATGGATCCCAAAACTCTAGATTTCAAATTTGGAAGATCTGGGGATTTCTGGATAATTGATCAAAATCTCCTGCAGTCCTCCAGGATTCAAATTTAGAAGGCCTGGGGATCTTTGGATATCGATTCAAAACCTCTGGAATTTTCGGAATTCAAATTTTGAAGGATTTGATAAATACTGGATATCTGAATAGGTCCTCCAAAAATCTTTAGAATTCAAATTTGGAAGATCTGGGGACTTCTGGATAATTGAACAAAACCTCCAGAATTAAAATCTTGAAGATCTGGGAGTTCTTTTTGAGGGTATTCATTATAATTCTCCTGATGTCCCGAATCTTTGTTGACCCTTGTCTGTGGGTGTTAGCCTCGAAGTTTCGATATATTATTACAATTGATATGGTTCCACGAATATTTGAATTACATATCTTGTAATTTGAATAATTTTTTGGATTGCAATTCTTTAGAATGATAATGGTTCATTTCACCCCCTCGAAATTTCAGAGAATATAGAGGAATTTCAATTAATATTGGTATTGTTTTTGCAAATTCGGATTTCAGTTCTATGAAATCGGATATTGTGTCCGGACTATTTGGGGTGGAAAGGGCAATATTTTCGGTCCCACGATCTCTTGAGCCTTCTCGGGGAGGAAAAGAATTTGATTTGTTGCTGGAGGTGTCTCTTCGGCAACATTTGATATAACAATTCATTAAAACCTTTCTGAACTCCGTGGAAGAGACGGACCTGATGCTTGAAGGTCTGGTGGTCTTCTGTCCATGTCTGCAGTTCTGGGCCAGGAGAAGTTGAGCATGTTGGTTCTTGACAGCCAATGCTTGTAATTCTTGTCTTTCGTCTTGTCATGGTGATATTGATTTGATTGTTTCGACACCTCGTCTCGCTTTTTGGATAGGTTTCTGAAAGAAAACCATGTCTTTTGTTTGGGGTAACTCTAATCTTGAGCCCGCAGAGAAGAGCGGCGCAGTTGTTGCTCAGGTTTGCTGGGGCGCCAGTCTTGCCACACATCCATCCATCACATGAGCATGAGCTGGCGCCTTGGTTTCTGCCTTGCCTTGTGCGATCTCGCGTGAGAACGCTGGTCTGTGGGGGGGTGAAACGTTGGCGTGGAGCACCAGAGGTGTCCTCGCGGCATCACAACATTGTTAGGAGATGGCAGCCGCGGCTAGACCTCTCGGATGCAGTAGGTCGCGGGATGTCGAGCGAGCTCCGCCAAGAAGACGGCTTCCGGTATCTGCTCTGCTCTGCGGGTACGAGCCAGGGAGTCCAACCTGAAGATCTTCTCATGGAAATATCGATATGCCACCCAGTGTGCGTTGTCCCGGTTCTGCACCGCCCCGGCAGCTGCTTCCAGATCGTGCTTGCTCACGACGGGTTGAAGGTCCATTTGCCACCTCACACGACCAAAAGCAGCCATGGCTTTGGTTTGCAGTACCTGCGCAAGCACTTCCGAGGAGTAGAAGCCACCTGGCGCCGCGTGGTCCTCTGCAGCTTCACCTCGTTCCACCCCACCTTCTTCGAGGACAACCTGCACGGCGTTGTCCATGTCCGCTTCAGTGAAGAAGGCTGCCCCCAAGGAGCCTTTGCGTTCCCTTCCCTAACTGGGTCAGGATGTGATCAGGGCCTGTGTAAATGCAGCCAAGGAGCCTTGCATTCCCTCCCTGACTGGGTCGGATGTGATCAGGGCCTGCGTGAACGCAGCCAAGGAGCCTTGGCCTCCCTAATTGGGTAGGGATGTGATCAGGGCCTGTGTATGAAGCCAAGGAGCCTTGTGTTCCCTTCAGGGTGTGAGCAGGACCTGTGCAGATGCAGCCAAGGAGCCTTGCATTCCCCTCCCTAATTGGGTCGGGATGTGATCAGGGCCTGTAAATGCAGGCACAGAGCCTTGTGTTCCCCTGCCTAGTTCGGTCGGGATGTGATCAGGGCCGGTAAATGCAGCCAAGGAGCCTTGCGCTGCGCTCTCTTCTCTAAAGAATGCTCAGTGATAAGCAATCTCAGGTGCTTTTTGGGATGTCCCTCAGGGCTGTAAACACCTGACCTTTGCCCTCTTGGTACTTGGTCTTCCCGCCTGGAGCCTGCTGGTTGCCGATCCTCACGTTGATGTTGCCCGAGAGCTTGCGAGCGTATTGGGAGAAGCTTCCATATCCATTCTGCCATCCGCCTGTGCCCGTGGAAAACAGGTGTGGGAAGAACTTCACGTCCATGTCGTCCGTGAGCTCCGAAGTGCTTCGGATTTTCTGCAGCTCCACAGTGTCCGCTCTGGGGGCTTTCAGCTCTTTGGGGATCAGGTACGTCATCTCTAGCCTGTCTTCCTTCTCTTCCATTGTTTCGACAGAGGCCGCTGCGTTTTCCGAGTGCTGCGCTTCGCCCCCCAAGGCCGAGGAGTGTGAGCCACCGGACTCCCCCGTTTGGCGCCCTTGGGAGGTTTCGCGGTCTGTCGTTGCCGCTGCGCTTGTACACGGCTGCACTTTTCCAGCGAGGATGATTTCCATTCTTGTTAAGGCTCCCTCCACTGCTGGGTTTGCCTGGTAGAGGCGGTGCTGCGCTTTCAGCTCTTGCAAGGCTTTGTGCAAGCAGTCTAGACGAGCTGGGGAAGCGGTCTTGCCCTGCACTCCTTCCACCAGGACAGTGCCATCTTCCTGGAGCCTTGTGTTTCTCTCCCTAATTGGGTCAGGATGTGATCAGGGCCTGTGTAAATGCAGCCAAGGAGCCTTGCGTTCCCCTCCCGAATTGGGTCGGGATGTGATCAGGGCCTGTGTAACTGCAGCCAAGGAGCCTTTGTATTCACCTCCCTAATTGGGTCGGGATGTGAAATGCAGCCAAGGAGCCTTGTGATTCTCCCTAATTGGGTCGGGATGTGATCAGGGCCTGTGTAAATGCAGCCAAGGAGCCTTGCATTCCCCTCCCAGGGCCTGTGTAAATGCAGCCAGGGAGCCTTGCATTGCCCTCCCTAAATGGGTCAGGATGTGATCAGGGTTTGTGTAAATGCAGCCAAGGAGCCTTGCATTCCCCTCCCTAATTGGGTCGGGATGTGACCAGGGGCCTGTTTGCATGCAGCCAAGGAGCCTTGGCATTCCCCTCCCTAATTGGGTCGGGATGTGATCAGGGCCTGTGTAAATGCAGCCAAGGAGCCTTGCATTCCCCTCCCTAATTGGGTAGGGATGTGATCAGGGCCTGTGTGAATGCTGCCAAGGAGCCTTTGTATTTACCTCCCTAATTGATCAAGGGCTGTGTAAATGCAGCCAAGGTCCGGATGTGGTGTGACTGCAGCCAAGGAGCCTTGCATTCCCTTCCCGAATTGGGTCCGGATGTGATCAGGGCCTGTGTGACTGCAGCCAAGAAGCATTGCATTCCCTTCCCTAATTGGGTCGGGATGTGATCAAGGGCTGTGTAAATGCAGCCAAGGAGCCTTTGTATTTACCTTCCTAATTGGGTCGGGATGTGATCAAGGGCTGTGTAAATGCAGCCAAGGAGCCTTGTGTTTCGCTCCCTAATTGGATCAGGATGTGATCAGGGCCTGTGTAA